GTGAATCCCGGTAAAAAATATGTGAGGATTCATTATATTCTAGCAATATTGGCATTTGAAATTTTTTAAAAATAAAAACATATAAAACTCCAGATAATAGTAATGTGGGCACCCAGGTTCAATGGGTAGTTAACTTTTGATGATCCTTATCATGTTTAGAAAGAATATAGAAATACTAAATAATTTTATATGTATTAAAATTTTATAGTTAATTATATACTTTTTAAATCTAAAGGTAACCATGAAGAATAGAAATAAAAGCTTTAGCAAGAAGTAGGGGAGGGGGAAGTGCAGAAAACCAAAGGCCAAATTTAAAAGAGTAGAAGTTAGTCCCAATATGCCAGTAATTCCAATAAACATAAATATAAAAGCATTAAACACAACTATTTAAAGACATTCTCAGGTTGGGTTTAAAAACACAATCCAGACATATATTGAATACATTGCTCTTATAAGCCATACATAAACTAAAACTATACGAAAATAATGAAAATAAAAGAATCTAGAATGTTATTTCACATAAATACTTATCAAAGGAGAGCAAGTATGGCAGAACTAACATCAGATAAAACAGAATTTAAGGCAAAAAATATTTCTAGTAATGAAAACTGACACACTATATACATATGGTCAAATTTCCTTCCTGAAAGAGTATATTGTTTTCCACTTCCAGCAGCAAAGTGTATTATTCCCAACAAGCATTACAATACAGGGCAATATCAATATCTTGTTTATATTTACCAATTTGATAAGTAAAAAGGAAAACAAAAAGCGAGTCTTTAATTGCTTTTTCTTTTCTTTTGTTTTCTTTTTTGAGAGAGGGGTCTGGCTCTGTCATCCCGGCTGGAGTACAGTAGAGCAATCATGGCTCACTGTAACCTCCACCTCCTGGACTCAACCAATCCTCCCACGTCAGCCTCCCGAGTAGCTGGGACTACAGGCACATGCTACCATGCCCAGCTAATTTTTAAAATCTTATGCCTAGCTAATTTTTTAAATCTTTTGTAGAGATGGAATCTTGCTATGTTACCCCAGCTGTGTAATTTCAAAGCCCATATTCTCTCAAATGTAATCATAGTGACCACACAACAAAACTGATGTTCTGGAATCAATGGTGAGCTCCCAGCCAAGGGAGGCAGAAACTGGTAGTCCTGTGAGGCTTCAGGTGGACACTGAGCTGTGGCCTGGGGGGCGACAAGGGCAGATGATGGAAGACACAGTTCCCTGAGCTGACAGGCAGGGAGGCCAGCTACCCCAGGGTGTCTGACCAGAGAGCCCCAGCCCCAAGGCCTACATCTGTTCTGCGTGGCATGAATCTGAATTAATTCTCAGCAGTTTATTTAATTTCTATACAGCACAGTATTGACTTTCTATACAATCACCCACAAAGCTGTTCAGCGCCTGGAGGCAGCAAACAATAGTTCTCTACAACCACCTCTGAAGGACCAATTGCCTTTCAGTTTCACACAAAGCTCTCATTAAAAACTCTTGACTGGAACTAGGTGGTTAGCAATTTCCAGAGAAATCTCTGATATATTTACCCTGGAAAGAAAGAAAGAAAGGAAAAAAAAAAAAAAGGTTTTCTATAAAATTTACTAAAATTATTAATAAAAACCCTTTGAGTTTACTGAAAACAACTGAGTGACTAATTCACACCAGGCATTCTGCTGGAGACTTTCACACTGTGTTCTCAGACCTACTTCTCAGAAAAACCCCACAGTTTTGGACGTATCTTTGTCCTCATTTAACTGACAATCAAACTGAGTGCCAGAGAGGTTAAATGACTCGCCCAACGTCAAAAGCCAGTAAGAGGACCATGCTTCAAATCAAGATTAATGAGCTTACATAGGGAAACCCTCAGGCAGCTCTGTTATTCAGAGTTATCAGCAGCATGGTTAAGACCAAAACTAATAGTTATAATTCCTCATTACCTAGCTCGGCTCATTGAGGATACTCTGAATGTAACAAAGACTTTAGGAAAAAACCATACATTATGATTAAAATGAGCAGAAATTTCAGATTCAGTATTTCTAGTTGCATTCTGAAAAAACTGTATGCTTAGTTAACAATAACCACTTCTGCAAAGAGTAGACAGTTAATCATTTCACATAATGCTGGATCCAAGTGATATTATTCCCTGACAGACTGGGCTTCTGGTCCACATGCTTTTGCTGATGCAGCTGCTCTAGCCTGATGCTTTAGAACAGGCTTTTGATTTATAGTTTGAAGTTAAAATTACCGAAGAGTTTTAAAAGCAGTACAAAAGCCATATGCATCTTTCTGTCACTATCTCAGAATACTGCTTCCATTTTTGCCCATATTTTTACTTGAGTGGCTGGAATTTAGGTGTAGATATACAGAATAGGAAAACTAACAGCAGAATAGGGAAATTATTACAAAACTATATGAAATATTTTAAAGTTCTGAAATAAAACAGCTAAAAACGCTTTGGTATCTACACTCACTTTCAGAATAAATGAGTGAAGGTGTGAAGGCAGAAACGCTGACATTTGTTAGTGTGTTTTTTTCTATTTGCTTCCCCTGCCACAGCCACATCCTATCTACCATTATCTGTACATGCAGAAAAATGAAAACAGACCGAGCTTGCTACACCACACAAACAAGGTTTCCATTTATCTGGCCCCGTATAGCTCCTAGAAGCATTTTCCTAAGGAAAGCAATCACTTGCTGATGGGTTTAGTTTTGTTGTTTTTGTTTTAAAGCATTGACCCAAAAAAAAATCTCTACGGAAGCATATCAGTATCTTTTAAATTCTTCAACAAGGAATTAAAAAAAAAAAAAGGAGGAAATGCATTCCTGGTAATTCTGTGCCAGATCACTTTCATTGTAAATATTTTTTTAAAAAATAAGTAGCCTTAGAAACATAAACATTTCTCCTTTTTAGGCATCATTGTAAATATTTCTGCTATCTCAGGAGCAGCATTGCAAAAGTCCTCATGCTTTATCCTTAGCAGAAAGGTTGGTCAACCGCAGCTCCCATGGAGCTAAACAAACACAATTCAGGTACATACCTTGTTATGTAAAAATACATTTCCCATAGGAAATGTGGTTAGATAAATTATATCCACAGATCACTTTTTCAAAGTCTTATTTTATCCTCATCTTTACCAAATCTTTTGCTAAAATATTGGAAAAAAAAAATAAGCAAAACGGCATTGAGTTTCTCTTTTTCTCCTACTCAGTCTTTTCTTTGAAGAGTGGTGCTGGAGAGGGCTAAGATGTAAAGAGCATAAAGGAGGAACAGCAAGACTCCTAACTGAACACAAAAAAATAAGTAGTTAGCTCTTTGAATAATCTAAAGTTGACGTATTAGAGAATTAGGCCTGTAATTTTCAGCTGTAAAAAACAAATCTACAAAGGTAACAAGCAGCAAAAAAGAAAAAAACAAAACCCTAAATAAGGTTCTGAAAAATGCTCCTGCTTCTTCCCACACATATGAAAAACATTAACAGCATGTAAAAAGGAGTTCTTTTCTGAGGTTTTACCCAAAAATCCTACCTGTGTCTCACTAAGGCTCCTGACTATTAAATGCCACCAGTTACCCTTGGTGGCAAAGTAAAATACAAATCAGTAGTTAATTGTGTGTTAAAAGAACAGCAAATTCTTTGAAGTTGTTCTTGAAGAAGCATGGGCTGTCTAATTAAAGGATGTTTAAAGAACAAAAGAGGAGGAGAAGGAAGAAGAAGAGGGGGAGGAGGAAGAAGGAAGAGAAAGACGAAGAAAGGAGGCAGAGAAAAGGGAGGAAGACGGGGAAGAGGAGGAGGAGGAACAACAATGCAGGGAAAAACCTCTTTTTTTTTTTTTTTTTTTTGAGACTGAGTCTCAAACTGTTGCCCAGGCTGGAGTGCAGTGGCGTGACCTCGGCTTACTGAAAGCTCCGCCTCCTGGGTTCACACCATTCTCCTGCCTCAGCCTCCTGAGTAGCTGGGATTACAGGTGCCCGCCACCACGCCCAGCTAATTTTTTGTATTTTTTAGTAGAGACAGCGTTTCACCATGTTAGCCAGGATAGTCTCGATCACCTGACCTTGTGATCTGCCTGCTTCGGCCTCCCAAAGTGCTGGGATTACAGGCGTGAGCCACTGCACCCGGCCTGGAAAAACCTCTTACTGAAGATCAAGAAGCCAACTCAAGTTTAAAATTGAGTCTCACGCACACTGTTTCTCAAATAGAAACACCCATTCTAACCTGTTCTAAACTACATGGCATCTCCAGCTGGGAATACAGACCAAAATAGCCAAACCCAAGAAAGACTGAAGATCAAACACAAGCCAACTGCACTCAGGAGAAATTCTCTAGTATCTGCCTACAGAATACAATTAGCTTGGGTATACTACACTAAAAATTGCTTTCAAAGAACACAGTTCAAAAACTGAGTTTCTTTTTTGCTGTCTATTCATAATAAAATGTTTGCAGAGATTTGACATCCTTTGATATACTTATATAATTTGCAACATACATAATGTACATTCAACTTTATAAAGTAAATTTTAATCAAAGCTATATATATTTTCTGTGTAGACCCTAACGATTCAAAATAGTGAGAAACACGTCACAACAGTGAGAAACATGATACGCAAGCAATATCTTAGTAAGCATAACCCCGATTTCTTTTTTTTTTTGTATTTGAGGTCAACATAAGTAGTTTGCTCTCTCTGAAAAGTGTAAGTCAGTTGCCAAATGAAAATGGTATTCTTCAGCCTATGCCAGAAGTAAGTTCTTTAGTCTTCTTGCCTAGTCTTGGACAAGACCATTAACATTACTCAACAGCAACTAAAATCCTCACATCAATTTAAATATGTCTATCCTTGCCAACACTTTATGTCTAGAGTTGACTCTATAAATAATGTTGGGTGATTAGTAAGATTAAAATTGGACCTTCAACAATCCAATGTCAATGTTGCTATTCTTGGTTTGCATTTTAAAAAGCTGATGGGTTTGTTCACTTTATTCAAGTAAAAAATCAAATGAAAACCTCACCTTGTGATGCCCAAATTCATTCAAAATGCTTCCCAGTTTTCTGGTGTTGCTATGTGGTTTTTGGGCAGCAACAGCTGGATGGGGATCCCGCCAGTCAATCGACAAGCGGTGATACCAAAGGTGCTGACTCTCCAGAATGTGAGCTGACTTGACACTAGGATCAAAACGATGCACTTCACATCCATTGTTAGCCATGCTGACCTCAAAATGGGTATCATCACTTCCCAGCCTATAAAGAAAGAGGACGGAAATCAACAACTAAAAATGCGATGAAGCAAAGTGCTGGACTGACAAGATAACACTTCCAAGGCCAAGGTTCTTAGTTATATCAAGCCTTCTCTTGTTTTAACCCATGGCTAATATATACATTCAATAAACTTTCTTTCACAAAAAAGTATTATTGTTTAAAGCTTCTGGATGAAAGATAAATTATCTGCTAAACAAAGACCAGAGAATCACATACTCAAACATGTAGACGCAACATCAAATTGGCTTTTTTAAGTGATGTAAATCACAGTAGCAATGAAACAAAGAAGACTATCCAATAGTCTTAGATTTTCTCAGAATATGTCCAAAAATATAAGCCCCAGGATTAGTTCTCTTGAGGAGAGGTGTGTTCTACTAATGAGGTAATTTGTCTCCATTTTAAGGGCCACAGTGCTGCATATGCAATTTGACTTAAAGACAACAGCTGTTTTCTTAGAAATGTAATATATTTTTAAATAGTGCAGATAAGAAAAAAGGCAAATGTATGTGATTCTGCTGCATCCAGAACTCAAGAAGCAGAAGGTTCCCTCACCTAAATTCACACCAAAAGGGGAAGAAATTATGACTTAATTGTACTTAAGTACTCAATAGGTAGCACATCATATGGAAAATTATAAACTTACAAATATTGAATTGACTCAGAAATATTCCTTATTTAATGGTGCAAGGATTGTCACTTTGATTAAAGCACCAGTTTTTTGTTTGTTTGTTTTTCTTTTCATTTTTTGAGACGGAGTCTCACTCTGTTGCCCAGGCTGGAGTGCAGTGGTGCAATCTCGGCTCACTGCAACCTCTGCCTCCCGGGTTCAAGCGATTCTCCTGCCTCAGCCTCCTTAGTAGCTGGGATTATAGGCGCATGGCACCATGCCCGGCTAATTTCTGTATTTTTAGTAGAGACGGGGTTTCACCACATTGGTCAGGCTGGTCTTGAACTCCTGACCTCGTGATCTGCCCACCTCAATCTCCCAAAGTGCTGGGATTACAGGCGTGAGCCACCGCGACCGACCTAAAGCACCAGTTTTAACGTAAAACATGAAATTAACTGAGAATGATTCTTTTAAATGGTGATTATGGTTTCTCTGCCCCAAATACTGTACTTATATGTGATTTAGGATACCAAAATCCCACAGAGTAGCTACACTACTTGGCCAAACCTAAACGCAGTGCAGAAACACTTCAATCTAGTAGATTCTACTACAGCTGACCATTGAACGACACAGGTTTGAACTGCGTGGGTCCACTTGTAAGTGGATTTTTTTCAATAAATACAGTCAGCCCTCCATAGCTCTGGGTTCCATGTCCACAAATTCAACCAGCATGGATCAGAAATACAGCACTGATGGGATGCAGGAGCCTACTGTTATGAAGGGCCAATGTTTTGTATCTGTGAGTTCTACAGCCAGACTTGGTATTTCGTGGATTTTGGTATCTGTTGGTGGGGAGAGGGTGGTCTAGAACCAACTGCCAACCCCATACGGAGGGAAGACTGATGATTGCATAATCTGGAAATACACAAGTTCAGCGGATAATAACTATTTACCTTATTTTAATTAACTAAAATAAGCCTTCGGTTCAGAGATCATCCACCTAGACAATTTTTTTTTTTTTTTTTTTTTTTTTGAGATGGAGTCTGGCTCTGTCGCCCAAGCTGGATACGCAGTGGCATGATCTCAGCTCACTGCAACCTCTGCTGCTGGGATTCAAGCAATTCTCCTGCTTCAGCCTCCCGAGTAGCTGGGATTACAAGTGTGCCTCACCATGCCTGGCTAACTTTTGTATTTTTAGTAGAGACGGGGTTTCACCATGTTGCCCAGGCTGGGCTCGAACTCCTGACCTCAGATGATCCACCCTCCTTGGCCTCCCAAAGTGCTGGGATTACAGGCATGAGCCATGGCACCCCACCTAGACATTCTTAATACAGGCAGCCCTCTGTATCCACAGATCTGATTCACAAATTCAACCAACTGCAGATTGAAAATATTCAAAAAAACAAAAATAAAAATAATACAACATTAAAAAAAGTAGAAATAAAAAGCAATACAGTATAACCACTATTACATGGCATTTACATTGTATTAGGTATTATAAGGAATCTAGAAATGATTTAAATGATGCAGGAGGATGTGCATAGGTTATATACAAATACTACACCATTTTATATCCAGGACTTGAGCATCCTAAATTTTGATCTTTGCAGTGGTCCTGCAACCAGTCTCCATGGGTGCGGAGGGGTGCTGATAGTCTCATTTGCCTCTTCCTCACCCTTCACCCAACTACACTGCTCTTTTTCCCACTGCATCCCATGGTAAGTCAGCCCTCTGATGTCCCTCAGCCATAGCTTTTTCAACCCTTTTTGCTTAAAGAAAATTCAGCACTCTTCTCACAAGCACTTCCATTTCTTCCACATAACAGATCTTGTTCCCTATTTTCTACCTCCTATTGAATCCACACAGCTCAGACCACTCAAGTCTCTGCCCCAGTTTTCCCCCAGTTTTCCATGATCAAATCTGATGTGGCAGATTGACTTGTTGACTCTGCTCCTTCAACCCTGCACCATCCACACTACTCCATGCTCATCATGAGAAAGAGTCTTTCCCTGTCCCTTGACTTTTTGGCTTGGCCATGTGCCTTGCTTTATGGAAGGAAGTGGGAGTGTGCCAGTCCAGATCCTAAGCCTTGAGTGCTTCTGTTCTCTCTCTTACACTGTCATCATGATAAAAACGTACCCTGGAGAGTTTGCACTCCAGCCAGTCCGCCGGCCCTCTGTAAAATACAGAACCTCCCTTAGCCATCTCAGCTGAATACTATAAACACCTCTACGCAAATAAACTAGAAAATCTAGAAGAAATGGATAAATTCCTGGACACATACACCCTCCCAAGACTAAACCAGGAAGAAGTTGAATCCCTGAATATACCAATAACAGGCTCTGAAATTGAGGCAATAATTAGTAGCCTACCAACCAAAAGAAGTCCAGGACCAGATGGATTCACAGTCGAATTCTACCAGAGGTACAAGGAGGAACGGGTACCATTCCTTCTGAAATTATTCCAATCGATAGAAAAAGAGGGAACCCTCCCTAACTCATTTTATGAGACCAGCATCATCCTGATACCAAAGCCCGGCAGAGACACAACAAAAAAAGATAATTTTAGACCAATATCCCTGATGAACATTGATGCAAAAATCCTCAATAAAATACTGGCAAACAGAATCCAGCAGCACATCAAAAAGCTTATCCGATAATTGGCCTTCATCCCTGGGATGCAAGGCTGGTTCAACATATGCAAATCAGTAAACGTAATCCATCATATAAACAGAACCAAAGACAAAAACCACATGATTATCTCAATAGATGCAGAAAAAGGTCTTTGACAAAATTCAAAAGCCCTTCATTCTAAAAACTCTCAATAAATTAGGTATTGATGGGACGTATCTCAAAATAATAAGAGCTATTTCTGACAAACCCACAGCCAATATGATACTGAATGGGCAAAAACAGGAAGTATTCCCTTTGAAAACTGGTACAAGACAGGGATGCCCTCTCTCACCACTCCTGTTCAATATAGTGTTGGAAGTTCTGGCCAGGGCAATCAGGCAGGAGAAAGAAATAAAGGGCATTCAACTGGAAAAGAGGAAGTCAAATTGTCCCTGTTTGCAAATGACATGATTGTATATTTAGAAAACCCCATCATCTCAGCCCAAAATCTCCTTAAACTGATTAAAGCAACTTCAGCAAAGTCTCAGGATACAAAATCAATGTGCAAAAATCACAAGCATTCCTATACACCGATAACAGACAAACAGCCAAATCATGAGTGAACTCCCATTCACAATTGCTTCAAAGAGAATAAAATACCTAGGAATCCAACTTACAAGGGATGTGAAGGACCTCTTCAAGGAGAATTACAAACCACTGCTCAATGAAATAAAAGAGGACACAAACAAATGGAAGAATATTCCATGCTCATGGATAGGAAGAATAAATATCGTGAAAATGGCCATACTGCCCAAGGTAATTTATAGATTCAATGCCATCCCCATCAAGCTAATAATAACTTTCTTCATAGATTTGGAAAAACTGCTTTAAAGTACATATGGAACCAAAAAAGAGCCCACATTGCCAAGATAATCCTAAGCCAAAAGAACAAAGCTGGAGGCATCATGCTACCTGACTTCAAACTATATTACAAGGCTACAGTAACCAAAACAGCATGGTACTGCTATCAAAACAGAGATATAGACCAATGGAACAGAACAGAGCCCTCAGAAATAATACCATACATCTACAACCATCTGATTGCTGACAAACCTGACAAAAACAAGCAATGGGGAAAGGATTCCTATTCAAATAAATGGTGCTGGGAAAACTGGCTAGCCATATGAAAGCTGAAACTGGATCCCCTCCTTACACCTTATACAGAAGTTAATTCAAGATGGATTAAAGACTTAAATGTCAGACCCAAAACCATAAAAACCCTAGAAGAAAACCTAGGCAAGATCATTCAGGACATAGACATGGGGAAACACTTCATGTCTAAAACACCAAAAGCAATGGCAACAAAAGCCATAATTGACAAATGGAATCTAATTAAATTAAAGAGCTTTCTGCACAGCAAAAGCAACTACCATCAGAGTAAACAGGCAACCTACAGAATGGGAGAAAATTTTTACAATCTACCCATCTGGCAAAGGGCTAATATCCAGAATCTACAAAGAACTCAAACAAATTTACAAGAAAAAATCAAACAACCCCATCAAAAAGTAGGTGAAGGATATGAACAGATACTTCTCAAAAGAAGACATGTATGCAGCCAACAGACACATGAAAAAATGCTCATCATCACTGGTCTTCAGAGAAATGCAAATCGAAACCACAATGAGATACCATCTCACACTAGTTAGAATGGCTATCATTAAAAAGTCAGGAAACAACAGGTACTGGAGAGGATGTGGAGAAAC